ATCAGTAATTGAATGAAGACAAGCTGGAAATTCAGGATCAATAAATAGCCGAGTTGAACTGTATTTTTCTTCAAGCAATTCAAAATTTTGATCTTTGTACGCTTTAATATTAATCATTTTTTTTGCTGTTTTGAAGATATTGCTAGACCAATGAATGTATGACAGTGATATAATGAATGTTTAATATATCTATAATGATGAAAGCAAAAATATTATTGAAAGAAAGAGAAAAGTAACGCTTCAATGATGGATATTCTTGTTTATTGTACTTAGAAAAAATTATTTTTTTTTTGGCTCCCTTTTAAATGCTAAGCAATTTTGAATAAAAACTAAGTAAAAAATTTGACTTTTTGCTAAGTAATTTGTAAAAAATAATTATAAGTAAAAAATACATTTTTGCCAAGTTTTTTATATAAAACCTAAGTCAATAAGGTTCATTTTATTAGCAAAACACTGGAAACCGATAGGTAAATAAATAATGTTTGCTAAGTAAAGTGACATTAATATCTAAGTAAAAAATTTAATTCTACAGTTAGTGTATTAACAAAACTATTGTTGCTTTTCATGGTAGTCCTCGTTCTGTTTTCTTACCGAGTGATATATCCTGTGCTGATGAAGGTGCTTTGTAAAACTTCAACCTAATATCTATATAAATAATATGTTTGCAAATATATTCTGTGGAGAAGCTTGAACAATAGTACAATCTAATTTTCTATCCTGATGGGGTCTAAGAATAGGGGTGTTTTTGAAAAGACGACTAACCTTCACAGGCATCAGCATCCTAAACCTATACTTATCCACACCCTATTCGCACAAATCAATTAAAATGGGTTCTCAGTAACTTTAATTTTAACAGAAAGTGTTATCACTTTCACAAAAAGGGTCTATGAAAATTTGATGAAGTGTTTATTAATGTCATACATCCTTTTTTAGGATTTATTATTCTACTCTTGTTTTTACAATGCAGAAGATGGGAAACATAAAAAAAAACTTGAAAAGTCAACAACAGATCGAGTAAAAAAGTAACAAGAGACAGAAAAAGAAATTTTTATACTGGATCATACTCGAAAAAAAAATATATGCATTCGAGCATGATATCAAAACAAAAAGTATAGGTGAAATCCACATTTATCTTGGTCATACATCGATAGCAATAGAAAAAAATGAAAAGAAAAAAGTATATCCCATACCAAAAAAATATATGCATTCAAGTGTAACATTAAAACAAAAAATATAGGTAAAATACACATTTATTGTGATGATACTTCAATACTGACAAAAGAAAAATGGAAAGAGAAAATGCATACGTCATATCAACATAAAAGATTCATAATCAATTCATAAATACTAGATTTATTAAAGGCATGGATTTAAGTGATCAGTAAAATAGATGGTATGATCAGTAAAAAAAGATATTATAAAATCGATTGATTGAATAAATGATCAGTTATATATGGAAGTACTAGTAAACTATTTAAATGATCAGTTGTTAAATGAAAAGAGTTATGTAGTAAAATTTTAATATAAATAAATAAAATAGAATAAGAGTCAGTTAAACCAAAGAATAAGTAAAGAAGTCAAAAAGTACAACAAGGTGATTTACTTGTGCTTTGCTTTTTTTTCTGTTCTTTGATATATATCTGCCCAGTGCATTATACGTACGATTTTCTTTTTTCTTTTCCTCACATCTATCATAGTGTTAACGAGTAAAAAAGATGCCGGTGATCCAAGTTGCTCAATATGTGAGCGATTTATTAGATGAAGAAGTTCAAGAAGAAAATGAGAAACACCAAAAGAAAAAAAAGTACAAAATGTTGGGTTAAAGAAGCTGTGTTTGATAATGCCGTTAAAGCTGAAGTATCACTTGGAAATACATGGTCAAAACATTATACAAACTATTCAGATATTGGAAGAAAAGTTTATTACAGATGTAGAAAATCAAAACTGCGTGGTCCTCAATGTAGTGCAGGTATTTATTTGTTATATCATGCAGAGAGTGATCAAGTTTCCATTTATAAAACCGAAACTGACCACGACCATCATGAAGGAAAAGTGCGTGGTATTGATGAAAATGTAAATAAATGTATTGAAGATTTATTTAATGATGGTATAACGAAACCAAAACAAATTATTCGTGCATTACAAACAAGAAATTTTGAATTACCATCATATGTACAAATTAAAAATTTTCTTGTTCAATATAAAAAAACGAAATTTGGTTCATATATTGTAAGTTTAGGTGAATTAGAACAATGGTGTAAACAGAATATTAATATTTCAACTGACGAAAATAAATACTTTGTTGTTTCATATAAAATAATGTACAATGATGAAGAAGATGTTGATGGAAATAAATTTCGTGTATTTTTATCAACTGTACGCTTGCTCAACATTGCATCAATATCATCACATATACATGCTGATGCAACATATAAATTAATTTGGCAAGGTTTTCCAGCACTTATAATTGGAACGACTGATTTAAAGAAGGTTTTTCATCCATTTGGTTTAGCTATATGTTC